TTATACTTCATCACACACAAACAAAAATAATACATAAACACAAACAGACAGACACACACACACATTGCCGCTTCCTTACCTCCTGACACGACTGGCTTTCGCTCCGAACCGTCGTACTTCGATGACCTGATGGACGACGAGCCGACGTCCGTCCAGTAGTACTTCCCTTCCAGGCAGTCCACGTCCGCTCCTGTAAACAAAAGGAATTTTCTTTATTAATGTCTCTCTCTCTCTCTCTCTCTCTCTCTCTCTCTCTCTCTCTCTCTCTCTCTCTCTCTCTCTCTCTCTCTCTCTCTCTATATATATATATATATATATATATTATATTATATATACATCGGTCATCTATCTTTCTATCAGTATATATATGTATCTCACTTTATTAATCTCTTTATCTATGATTTTTTTTTCTATCTCTATCTCTTTATCTGTTTGTCTATCCAACTGTCTATGTCACTTTCTGATTCACTTCTTAAACAAAGCATTCCATCCCACTGACCTCCATTCACACACACACACACACGCACACACACACCATACACACACACACACACACACACAACACACACACACACACACACACACACACACACACACACACACACACACACACACACACACACACCACACACACACACCACACACACAGGCTAGATCAGTAGCAACTCGAGGAGGTGTTATGGCGTCTGATTCCATTTTTGGAAGAGAAAAAAAATATGGGGTATATTTTGATGACGTCAGAAAAGTATATAACCATTAAAATAATCATCTTAATGGTTGTATTTTCATTGAACGATCATCAAAACAGAAGCCACGACACCTCCCTGAGTTGCTACTGATCTAGCTGCGTAGATATTATCGTTATATACATTGTACGTATATCACATATGCCTTTTTAATGTATATTATCATTATATACATTGTACGTATGTCACATATGCCTTTTTAATGTATATTATCATTATATACATTGTACGTATGTCACATATGCCTTTTTAATGTATATTATCATTATATACATTGTACGTATGTCACATATGCCTTGTTAATATAACGTTATATTTGTAAGCCCTGCATCCTACAGTCGTTTTATATTCATGGTCCCTTAGACATCCTACTATCGTTTATATTCATGGTCCCTTAGACATCCTACTATCGTTTTATATTCATGGTCCCTTAGACATCCTACTATCGTTTTATATTCATGGTCCCTTAGACATTCCAAGCAGGGACCAACCCCCTCAGCCAATCAGCGAGCGAGACAGCTGAGCCCGAGGAGACTCCAGTTTACAATCGTATCGTTCTTGCACTTGCCCATTTGTACTTAAATTTGTACTTGTAACTAGCCTTAATAAAGCTCACTTGCAATCTTCGATAAAGCTCACTTGCAATCGCATTGTTCTTGCACCTGCCCATTTGTCCTTAAAGTACGTGGTAACTAGCTTCGATAAAGCTCCCTTGCAAATCCGAGTTTTCAAGAAGTTATGGACGAAAGAACAGAGAAATAAACCTTAATAAAGCTCACTTGCAATCGTATTGTTCTTGCACCTGCCCATTTGTCCTTAAAGTGCGTGGTAACTAGCTTCGATAAAGCTAGTTACCACGATAAAGTTACTTACTTACTTATAAAGTTAGTTACTTCGATAAAGCTAGTTACCACGATAAAGTTTCTTACTTATAAAGTTAGTTACTTCGATAAAGCTATATTTGCTCACTTGCAAATCCGAGTTTTCAAGAAGTTATGAACGAAAGAACACAGAGAAGACTAGCCTGTCCCAAAACGGGGCATCGAACTCACCGACTGCGGTCATGAAGGGCTCGACGTGGATCGGGAATCCGCCACCGCCACGAGGGTCAGCGGGCATGCGCAGAACAGACAGACCCTGGTTGATGAGCAGCAGGTTCTTCTCGTGGTCCGGAGCCTCTGCGGATGGGAGGGCAAAGGTCAGCGTGTACTTGGGTCAGAGGTCAGCGTGTACTAGGGTCTAAGGGGGTCAAAAGTCAGCGTGTAGTCAGAGGTCAGCGTGTACTTGGGTCAGAGGTCAGCGTGTACTGGGGCAAAGGTCAGCGTGTACAGAGGTCAGTACTTGGGTTAAGGTCAGCGTGTACTGGGGTCAAAGGTCAGCGTGTACTTGGGGCAGAGGTCAGCGTGTACTTGGGTCTAAGGTCAGCGTGTACTGGGGTCAAAGGTCAGCGTGTACTTGGGTCTAAGGTCAGCGTGTACTTGGGGCAAAAGTCAGCGTGTACTGGGTCAGAGGTTAGCGTGTACTGGGCAAAAGTCAGCGTGTACTGGGTCAAAGGTCAGCGTGTACTGGGTCAGAGGTCAGCGAATGCTTGGGTCAAAGGTCAGCGTGTACTGGGTCAGAGGTCAGCGTGTACTGGGGTCAAAGGTCAGCGTGTACTGGGTCTAAGGTCAGCGTGTACTGGGGTCTAAGGTCAGCGTAAGTCGAGGTCAGCGTGTACGGGTCAGAGGTCAGCGTGTACTGGGGCAAAGTTAGCGTGTACTGGGGCAAAGTTCAGCGTGTACTGGGGCAAAGGTCAGCGTGTACTTGGGTCAAAGGTCAGCGTGTACTTGGGTCAGAGGTCAGCGTGTACTGGGTCAAAGGTCAGCGAATACTGGGTCAAAGGTCAGCGAATACTTGGGTCAAAGGTCAGTGGGTCAAAGGCCAACGAATACTTGGGTCAAAGGTCAGCGAATACTTGAATCAAAGGTCAGCGAATTCTCCAAAGGTCAAAGGTCACTGCGTTCATTCAACATCAACCTACAATATCTGAGTGTCAAAGGAGGTTAAATTTTAGTCTACCATCCCCATACTGTCATTCCTGCCAGCACTATCATTTCTTACTGACCAACTTCCCCCCTTTTTTCCTGAATTCTCCAACTCTCTCTTGGCTCTAGACTACCGCGTGGCAGAACAGGTCACCTTGGCAGTTGTATCCGTCCCCCGTGTAGCCAGAGCGACACCTGCAGGAGTAGCCGAAGGGGGAGAGGGCGTCAGGCACACACGAGGCCTGAGGGTGGCAGACAGAGGGATCCAGCTGGCACGACCTGGACGACCGGCAGAAGTATCCGTCGCCTTCGAAGCCCTTAAAAAGATAGATAAATAGATAGATGAATAAATAGATAGATAAATAAATAATAGATAAATAAATAGATAAAAAATAAATAAATAAATAAAAAGATAAATAAATAAATAGATAGATAAATAAATAGATAAATAAATAAATAAATAGGTAGATAGATAGATAGATAAATAAATAAGGAAATCAAATATACACACAGACTTCTCAAACAAATGAATAAATAAATAAATAGATAGATAGATAGATAGATAGATAAATAAGGAAATAAAATATACACACAAACTTCTTAAACAAATAAATAAATAGATAAATTAATAAGAAATCAAATTTCCACAATCTTCTCAAATAAATAAATAATAATAAATAATAAATAAATAAGGAAATCAAATATACACACAGACTTCTTAAACAAATAAATAAATAGATAAATAAATAGATAAATAAATAGATAAATAATAAGGAAATCAAATATACACACAGACTTCTCAAACAAATAAATAAATAGATAAATAAATAGATAAATAAATAAGGAAATCAAATATACACACAAACTTCTCAAACAAATAAATAAATAGATAAACAAATAGATAAATAAATAGGAAAATCAAATATACACACATACTCTCTCAAACAAATAAATAAGTAGATAAATAAATAGATTAATAAATAGATCAATAAATAGATAAATAAATAGATCAATAAATAGATAAATAAATAGATAAATTAATAAGGAAATCAAAATCCTACAAACTTCTCAAACAAATAAATAAATAGATAAATGAATAAATAAATAAATAAATAAATAGATAAGAAAATAGACAAATTAATAGAGAAATAAATAGATAAATAAATAGATAAACAAATAGATAAATGAATAGATAAATAAATAGATAAATAAATAGATAAATAAATAAATAAATAAATAAATATACAGATAAATAAATAGATAAACAAATAAATAAATAAACAGATAAACAAAGAAAGAAATCAAAATCCGACAAGCTTCTCAAATTATGCTGTCGTAAACCTTGCAACAGACGCAACAATGACCGATTAAGCAGACAACATCGCCTCAACATTGCAACAACATCAAGCAGGCAAACATCGCCTCAACATTGCAACAACATTTCGCCCTCAACATTGCAACAAACATTAAGCAGACACACACTCGCCTCAACATTGCAACAACATTAAGCAGGCCACACTCGCCTCAACATTGCAACAACATTAGCATTGGCAACATTGCAACAACATTAAGCAGGCAACATCGCCTAACATTGCAACAATTAAGCAGGCAACATCTCAACAAACATTAAGCAGGCAACCTCAACATTGCAACAACATTAAGCAGGCAACATTGCCAACAACATTAAGCAGCAACATCGCCTCAACATTGCATGCAACACACATTCAATATTAAGCAGGCAACATTCTCAACATTGCAACAACATTAAGCAGGCAACATCGCCTCAACATTAAGCAGGCAACATCGCCTCAACATTAGCAGCAACATCGCCTCAACATTAAGCAGGCAACATCGCCTCAACATTAAGCAGACACACTCGCCTCAACATTGCAACAACATCAAGCAGGCAACATCGCCTCAACATTGCAACAACATCAAGCAGGCAACATTGCAACAACATCAAAGCAGGCAACATCTCAACATTGCAACAACATTAAGCAGACAACATTGCAACAACATTAAGCAGGCAACATCGCCTCAACATTGCAACAACATTAACAGACTCAACATTGCAACAACATTAAGCAGGCAAACATCAACATTGCAACAACATTCAGACAACATTGCAACAACATTTAAGCAGGCAAACATCGCCTCAACATTGCAACAACATTGCAACACAACATTGCAACAACATCAGGCAACATCGCCTCAACATTGCAACAACATTAAGCAGACAACATCGCCTCAACATTGCAACAACATTGCACACTCAACATGCAACAACATTACGCGACTCAACATTGCAACATTCAACACTCAAAACACATTGCAGCAACAAAGCAGGCAACATTGCAACAGGCACACTCGCCTCAACATTGCAACAACGAGACTCACCTCCCTGCAAGAGCACCGATAACCAGACACGTTGATGTCGTAAGCGCACTCTGCATTGTCGCCGCAATTGTAAACCACGTTGCAACCAACCTGGAAAAAAGGAAAAATAAAATGGGTTGAGTAATCTTGCAATGGCGGGTTTTTGCATTGTGTTTTTGGCGAAATGGATGGATATGGATTAATAAATTATGGATTGACAGATGGATAGGTCGAATTATGGAATATAAATTATGGATTGCAGATGGATGGATGGATGGATCGATTAAATTATGGATTGGATAGATAAATTATGGATTGGATAGATTGATTAAATTATGGATTGGATAGATTTGATTAAATTATGGATTGGATAGATCGATTCAATTATGGATGGATAGATCGATTAATTATGGATTGGATAGATCATTGGAGATCGATTAGATTATGGATTGGATAGATCGATTCGATTCATTATGGATTGGATAGATCGATCAAATTATGGATTGGATTGATCGATTCAATTATGGATTGGATTGATCGATTCAATTATGGATTGGATTGATTGGTATTGGATAGATTGATTAAATTGGATTGGATAGATTGGTTAAATTACGGATTGATAGATTCGATTAAATTAATGGATTGGATAGATCGATTAAATTATGGATTGGATAGATCGATTAAATTATGGATTGGATAGATCGATTTAAATTATGGATTGACAGATGGATAGAGTGATTAAATTATGGATTTACTAACTGATGGTTTGATAGATGGATTGATTAAGTGATTGATAGATGGATATATCGATTATCTGGTGGATTGATAGACGAATAGATTGATCAGCTGATGGATGAATGGTATGATTTGTGAATGAATAGATAGAGAGATACGAATATTGACAAACAGACAGAAAGACGGATAGATAGATTGAATCACCGAGTGAATGATTGGTTGACAGATAGATAGGTAAGTAAACAAGCATATATTTGATAAGTAGATGAATAAATAAACTAACAGATGGATAGGAAAATAACAAGAGAAGACATGTAGATCATTAGATAGATGGAGAAACATATAAATATATATGCAGGGAGAGAGAGGGAGCGAGAACGAGAGTGAGAGAGAGAAAGAGAAGAGAGAGAGAGAGGAGAGAGAGAGAGAGAGAGAGAGAGAGAGAGAGAGAGAGAGAGAGAGAGAGAGAGAGAGAGAGAGAGAGAGAGAGAGAGAGAGAGAGAGAGAGAGCGACTAAAAGACAGACAGATAGACAGAATAAATGACAGACTAAAAGACAGACTAAGAGACAGACAGACAGATAGATAGACTAAAAGACAAACAGACAGATAGACATTAAGACTAAAAGACAAAAATACAGATAGACATTAAGACTAAAAGACAAAAATACAGATAGACATTAAACGTCTGAGAGACACACACAGTAAAGATAAAGAAACAAAGACACCAAGAAACTAGAATCAAAATGAGTAAAAGATCTATAAAAAAAAAAATCACAAAATTACCTCGGTGGCTGTACAGAAGGTGCCATCTCCTTCAAAGCCAGACCGGCACTGGCACCGATGAGCCAGCGCATAAGAGTCATAAATACAGTTGGCATTGACGTCACAATTGTTGATGATATTGCAACTTGCCTCTGTTGATGGCACAATCAGATTTGAAGAATTATGGAAATAATAAGCGATAAATGTTAGTGTTTGATATCATTCATAATTTATATTTATTCCATCTTTCTATTTCTATTGTTGATGATATTGCAACTTGCCTCTGTTGATGGGTCAATTTGAAGAATTATGGAAATAATAGTTATAAATGTTAGTGTTTGATATCATTCATAATTTCCATTTATTCCACCTTTCGATTAGACAGGATTACTTTGATGTATCGATTCGTATTAAAACCACGAATGAATACATCGTTTTTGAAATAGCAAGTGTCAAATGAATCACGAATGAATTCGTATTAAAACCACGAATGAATACATCGTTTTTGATATAGCAAGTGTCAAATGAATCACGAGAGATGCCAACCTCTTTTGGGAGAACAAGAAGTGCCATCGCCTTCATAACCCTCGTTGCACTGGCACTTGTACCGTCTACTGGCACTGTCGTAGAGGCACTGGGCGTTGACGTCACAGTCCTGGACGCTGCTACACTGATCTGGTGGAAGGGAAAATGGATAAAGATGACATTGGTGGAAGGGAAAATGGATAAAGATGACATTGGTGGAAGGGAAAAAGGATAAAGATGACATGACATTGGTGGAAGGGAAAATGGATAAAGATGACATTGGTGGAAGGAAAAAGGATAAGATGACATTGGTGGAAGGGAAAATGGATAAAGAACATAAAGATGTGATAAAGATGACATTGGTGGAAGGGAAAATGGATAAAGATGACATTGGTGGAAGGGAAAAAGGATAAAGATGACATTGGTGGAAGGGAAAATGGATAAAGATGACATTGGTGGAAGGGAAAATGGATAAAGATGACATTGGTGGAAGGGAAAAGGGATAAAGATGACATTGGTGGAAGGGAAAATGGATAAAGATGACATTGGTGGAAGGGAAAAAGGATAAAGATGACATAAAGATGACATTGGGTGGAAGGGAAATGGATAAAGATGACATTGGTGGAAGGGAAAAGGATAAAGATGACATTGGTGGAAAAAGGATAAAGAATAAATGGATGACATTGGTGGAAGGGAAAATAAAGATGACATTGGTAAAGGATAAAGGACGATGACATTGTGGAAGGGAAAATGGATAAAGATGACATTGGTGGAAGGGAAAAAGGATAAAGATGACATTGGTGGAAGGGAAAAAGGATAAAGATGACATTGGTGGAAGGGAAAATGGATAAAGATGACATTGGTGGAAGGGAAAATGGATAAAGAGACATTGGTGGAAGGGAAAATGGATAAAGATGACATTGGTGAAGGGAAAAGGATAAAAATGACATTGGTGGAAGGGAAAATGGATAAAGATGACATTGGTGGATGGATAAAGATGACATTGGTGGAAGGGAAAATGGATAAGATGACATTGGTGGAAGGGAAAATGGATAAAGATGACATTGGGAAGGGAAAAATGGATAAAAGATGACATTGGTGGAAGGGAAAATGGATAAAGATGAACATTTGGTGGAAGGGAAAAAGGATAAAGATGAATAAATGGATAAAGACATTGGTGGAAGGGAAAATGGATAAAGATGACATTGGTGGAAGGGAAAATGGATAAAGATGACATTGTGAAGGGAAAATGGATAAAGATGACATTGGTGGAAGGGAAAATGGATAAAGATGACATTGGTGGAAAGGGAAAAGATAAAGATGACATTGGTGGAAGGGAAAAAAGGATAAAGATGACATTGGTGGATAAAGATGACATAAATGGATAAATGACATTGGTGGAAGGGAAAAAGGAAAAGGACATTGGTGGAAGGGAAAAAGGATAAAGATGACAGGAAGGGAAATGGATAAAGAATGACATTGGTGGATAGGGAAAAAAGGATAAAGATGACATTGGTGGAAGGGAAAATGGATAAAGATGACATTGGTGGAAGGGAAATGGATAAAGATGACATTGGTGGAAGGGGGGGATGGATAAGATGACAGGGAAAATGGATAAAGATGACATTGGAAAACATTGGTGGAAGGGAAAATGGATAAAGATGACATAAAGATGACATTGGTGGAAGGGAAAATGGATAAAGATGAAGAAGGAAAAGGATGGACATGGTGGAAGGGAAAAGGATAAAGATGACATTGGTGGAAGGGAAAATGGATAAAGATGACATTTGGAAGGAAAAAGGATAAAGATGACAGACATTGGTGGAAAAGAAAGATGACGATGACAGAAAAATGGATAAAGATGACATTGTGGAAGGGAAAAGATAAAGATGACACGAGAAGGGAAAATGGAAAGATGACTGGATGACATGACATTGGTAAAGGATAAAGATGACATTGGTGGAAGGGAAAAAGGATAAAGATGACATGGAAGGGAAAATTAAAGATGACATTGTGGAAGGGAAAAGGATAAAGATGACATTGGTAATGATAAAGATGACATTGGTCGAAGGGAAAATGGATAAAGATGACATTGGTGGAAGGGAAAAGGGATAAAGATGACATTGGTGGAAGGGAAAATGGATAAAGATGACATTGGTGGAAGGGAAAATGGATAAAGATGACATACAGTGAAATACATTAAAGTACTGTGCAGTGAAATGTATCAGGGAGACATATAAGGTAATGTAGTGGGATACTATGCAGTGAAGTACACAAGGAGGATATATATAATAATAAATAAATCAAAATGATATAGGGAGAGGGAGGGAAGGAGAGAGGGGGGGGGCTGACAGACACAGAGAGAGTCAGACAGACAGACAGACAGACAGAGAGAGAGAGAAAGGGAAGGAAGGGTGTAGTATAAACAGCCTGTCAGCAGAATATCAATTGTAAATTTGTAATTTTTTATAGATTTGCATTTTCACTGTTATATAAAACGGAAGGTTCATGATTAACTGTGCTAGTATTTTCACGTTGACTTAACAATATGCTGAGTGATGAATAAAAGGTATACTGCCTTATCTAAAAAAAAAAATAAAAAAACGAAAGGGGAAATGAGTAGACAAAATACATTATAAGGAAATTAAACCTTATATACAGCATTTAAGAATCAGACATTTCATTTCCGTAATAAGAGACATAAACTTGTATAGTAAGACCTTTACTTATTGTGGACACTCACACATACACGCACACCAACAGACACACATATCAGACATAACGCACACACACACACACACACACACATCAGACATACACCCACCTACACTCACCCACCCCCCCAACACACACACCCCACACACCAAACACCCCTCCACATACATACACAAACACCCCTCCGCACACACACACCACACACACGCACACTTCTTCTAAACCATACACACATTACAACCCCCCCCCCCGACACGCACACACGCACCCCACACACACACACACGCACACACACTTCCTTTAAACCCATACAACACATACAAATACCCCCCCCCTACCCGACACACACCACAACACACACGCACACCCCTCGCCCCCACACACACACAGAGCCCCCTCCCACACACACACAAACACCTCCCCCCTCCCCCCCAACACACGCATACAAACACCTACCCCCCCACCCCCTCCCCCACACACACGCACCCCTCCCAACACGCACCCCCCTCCCACACACACACACACGCACCCCTCCCCCCTCCAAACCACACACACACACACCCAACGCACACAAGACTCGACCCTCACCTAGCGGAGTGCACACGAGGCCATCACCCTGGTAGCCCGGCAGACAGACACACACGTGTTTGAGCTCGTAGTCGTCGTAGACACACTGGGCGTGGATGTGGCAGATGTCCACCGTGTCACAGGAGACATCTGTGGCAGAAGTGGATAGAAAAAAAAAAAAAAAAAAGGGAAAGAAAAAATAAGTGTTATTGGTGTGGATATATATTTGATTTTTTTTTTTTTTGTGGATTTTTTTTTCTTCTTCTGTTCGGATTTATTTTTTTTTCTCTCTCTCTCTTTTTTTTTTGGGGGGGGGGTGATTTTTTTTTCTTTTCTTTTGTTCGGATTTATTCATTGCGTTGATATTTTTTTTTTCTTTTTCTTTTTTTTAATTATCTGTTGGATCTTTTTTTTTCGAATCTATATTGTTTTTTTTTTCGTATACCGTGAAGATTATTTTTTTAAAGATAGGAAGATGCAAGTGTGCACGTTTATTATGCTCTGTATCATACCTTAATCATAACTTTGTTGATAAAATACATACCATGCAGTCATATTTTATGTGCAAATGCTTTTATTCCTTGAAGGCCACATGAAAAAAAAAAAAAAAAAAAAAATATATATATATATAATATATATAAATATATATATATATATATATATATATATATATATATATATATATATATATATATATATATATATATTACAAAAAAGAGATTTTTTTTTATTTCTCTTTCCTCCCTCAACTTTTTGGAGTGTTTCTTGTTTTTCTTAATGAGACTATTCTCCCTTTGTCTTTTTTTTCTGTTTTATTCCTTCTTTAGTCCCGTAATCCCTTTCCCACTGAAGAAATTTATCCTACATTATTCCTTTCCCCTTTCTTTATCCATTTTCTTCATTATTACCCTTCTTTGTCAGGTACAAAGGGAAGACGGGGTGGTGGTGGGACTTTTCCTGGTCATAAAAACTCGAAAATCAGTATTTTCTTAAAATAAGGAAAATAAAATTTGCCAATTTGTCAAAATTTCGAAAAAGGTTACCCATCGCATGAAAATCAGGAAATCAAATTTGCTCGGTTAGCCAAAGGGAGGGACATTTTTTGGCCTTTTCGGTCAAAATTAGGGGTCAAAAAAAAAAAAAAAAATCCCTTTAATTCAACTGGGCTCAAGATTCTCTCTATCTCCCTTTCTCTCTCTCTCTCTCTCTCTCTCTCTCTCTCTCTCTCTCTCCTCTCTCTCTCTCTCTCTCTCTCTCTCTCTCTCTCTCTCTCTTCTCTCTCTCTCTTCCCCCCCCCCTTTCCTCAGCTTCTAGGGTTGCTCAAATGCTCTCCCCCAAGCCCGTCCCCTCCCTCCCTCCCTCCCCTCCCCTCCCTCCCACAGCCTGAGGATACCCATATACCCTACTTTCCCCTTCCCTCCCCTTCAGTCCTCAAATACGCACTTATACTTATACACAAATACTTCTACTCATACACAAATACAAATAAATACATAAATGCATATACTTATACACAAATACAAGTATACATAAATGCACTTATACTTATACAAATACATATACTTATACACAAATACTAATACTTATACACAAATACATATGCTTATACACAAATGCACTTATACACAAATACTTATACTTATACACAAATACAAATACACTTATACACAAATACACTTACACTGATTAACAATACTTCAATACCCAAAGACCACCAGATATCCAAATACTCACCAGATATTCAAAATATTCATCTCTCTTCCCCTTCCTTTTCCTCACTTATCCCCATCCTTCTCTCAACTCAGGAATACCCAGTTACTCATCCCCAACCCCCTTCCCCTCCCCTCCCCAACCCTCTCCCTCCCCTCCCCAACCCATGGATACCCAATCACTCCCGAAATACTCCCCTCTCCCTCCCCCTCCCTCCCTACCCCAACCCAGGGATACCCAGGAATACCCAATACCCGAATACCTAAATACCCAAATACCCAAATACCCCCTAATACCTAAATACCCAAATACCTAAATACCCAAATACCTAAATACCT